TGATAGTGAATTCTATGTAGAATTTCACTGCTAATTCCGAATCTGGTCTCAGATTTGTATGATTCGTTTTTGAGATTATCGCTAATTCTTATAAAAATCATATACTATATACTTAAATTCTAATAAAACAAAAAAGGAAAAAACTTTTTTTATTTTTCCCCTTAAATATAAACTAACTGTACTATTAAAACGTTGGGTAAAATTTGAAACTGATCTGTGAAGTTGGCATTATTTTTCGGTCGTTTAAAATCGAGGTTGACAATTATTTAATAATCAACTAAGCAAATAATTTCACTATAGATTTTTTTTTTTTTTTTTTATTCGCAATTACGAATTAACGACCATTTTTAAGAACAGATTTTACAAGAATATTAATAATATCATTAATGAGTTTGTTGAGACAAACACTGTCAATAAAAAAATATGTGAAACTTTGAAAAATAACTAATGAAAAAATATTGTATTTGTTCTGACTTTTCCATCATGAATGTATGTAAATTATGTATGCTCTTATTATAGATACCCACACGGCACAGGAAAAGTAATACAAAAATTAACAACAATGTTCTTTTTCATCCGTGTTACCAAGGTAATCTTTAAATCAACAAAAATAGTTAGATTTGTTTACTAAAAATAACTAAAAATCTAATTTTAGGGAATGGTATTCAATAGGGGGTGGATTTAATTATCTATTAACCTTTTTCGAACAACGTGGAACATCTTCCCAAGGTTTCATGGCGATCGGACGAATAGTGTAGTATGCATCAAGTACAAACAGACATATATTAATTTATATATTTTTAGATTACTATATTATTATCTTGAAAATACGAGCCAATTTTAAGAAACAAATTACATATTGTAATTAAGTATTTTCATATTAATCAATATTTATTCAAAAACCTTGGCAACAAATTTTTATTTTTTTTTTGTTAGTCATTGTAATTAATATAACACAATTATGACAAGTAGGACACTTTAGGACAATATACATGTATAGAGAACTTGAATAAATTTAAATGTGTTTTATAGATTACATTTTTTTTTTTTTAATTTTTGAAAAACGTATTTCTATTCACACAATTAGGACATGGAATAGGACATTTCATTTTTATTTTTTTATTTTTATGCAAGTTTAGGGCAGATAAGAAATTAATATACATATATTCAATTAAATCTCAAATGTAAATCCAAACAGTTTATTTAGTATTTAATTAATATTTGCAACATATCATGCAAAATAAAAAAAATATATTATTCAACTAAGAAATATACATACGAAACATAACACTATTATTCTGTATTTCACATTTAGTTCATATTTACTAAATAACAATACCATATTTACTTAATTATGTATATAAGCCTTACACCTGTATGCATAGTCGTTTAAGTTATACCTTTCATAACCTTCCTTTTCTATGTATAGGTATATACCTACCTATTCTAATATCACTTGAGTTTTTTTAAAAAGTTTTGTTTAAAATTTAAATGTCCATCCTAAGTTCCTATATGGAACTTTACGAAATTTGAATATCATTATGTCAATCATTATTAATTTGTGTCTAGTATGAGAATTCTCATTACATTATAAAACACTTACTGCATACGCATATAGTAAAATAGACCCGTGGTCGAAGAACTAGTCGGCGTATGTTGAAATTACTTGTGATAAAAGGTTATCTCCATTAAAAACATCCTCTGATTATTACAAAATACAAAAAAGATCATAAATAGAACAAAAGTAATAAATTCGGGGAAGCAATAAAACTAACATTTTCCACAAAAAACGTACATAGGTTAAAATCCTCTAAATATACTTATTTTCTCAAGTGGACATTTGTTTTTTCTCTCAGCGTATACGTATAATGTAATACAAATTGAACATAAATACTTATGTTTAATTGTATTTTTCTTATTTGTATTATTATTATTTATTTAAACTTAAAAATAAAGACGTTTAATAATATTTTAGCCAATAAGCTTTAGACCAATTGCTATTTCTGTAGCCTAGAGTTTTATGACAAACAAAAAAACAATGAATATCGTATACTACATATTATTATTTATTTAAAATAACGCTATGATACACAACAGTTTTATATTATTTTACCAGTATATTGTATTAACACAATTGCTAGATCATACATTTTTATAGTCGAAACAGTGAGAGTTTAAAAACGTTTTACCCACTTGAAATTCGATATATTTATGTATACAATATACATGTATATACGATATGCTCTCAAAATATTACACAAAATTTCTCAAGCAGTTTGAAAAACTGTATAAATAATATAATATTGTCTCGTATACGTTACCATACATTTCATAATAATACATACAAACATGGACATGTTTTTAGATTCACATAGCCTATAAGGACTAAGAATATTATGTCAGTTAGGACACTGTATTTTCCTTTGCATTAAAATAGTATAATCCTTACAATTGACTAATGATTACAAAACGTGAATTAATGTACTTGTTCCAATCGAGTTTACTAATAATTATTGATATACATGTTAAAAAAAAAAAAAAAATCTAACATTGAAATTATCGTAAAATTATTATAAACTATATAAACAACCTTGAAGAAATTACTTATTTAATTCCTTATAATATACTTATAATATACTTACTAAGTTAAAGAGTCTATGTATCGTATCACGTAAAAGAATTTCGGTCGGCCGCCGTATCTGACGGCTGGTATTTAGGTACAATATAGTACCTAAATATGGATTTTAATAAAATATTAGTCAAGTACCTAGTTCGTTTCTGTAATTTCATAGGATTCGTATGTCCGCCTGATTAAGCTTTTCACATTACTTCAACTGAGTGGACGTGCGGTACAGCAACTCTTTTGGAATATTATACTATACGTTGCAATATTCTATAGTATTTACAGTTTTCAGTATAGATTTTTAAATTACATATACAGACAGGTGCGCTACATAAAGTATTCACATCGATTAAATTCATTACTCTTATTATAAAAATAGTATAAAAATTACTGAAGAACTGTAGTGCATAACAATTTTGGGTGAACTTCACTCCAAAACATTTTTTATTAACAATGGTTCATCATTGCTTACAGATATAAATTGAATTCCCTCTATATCCTATATTCCCAACTTCTCACCTACAACAATAACTCACCCCTCGTGCGAAGTATGTCAGTCTTATTTAAATATTACTACATACCTATTATAGCAACCCAATATTTTTCCGGAAGAAAGTTCAGTTGTAATTATTAATATACCTTCCTATCAACTTAAAGCATGTGGTTAAATTTCCAGAGACTCACAAGGTATCATCGTGGATTACGCAACTTTCAATGATTTGGACTAGTACGTTTTTAGTACTAACCCTCGGCATATGTAAAATACTTGAATAAATCTTCATGCTTACAGAGCCTTAATCTAAGCCTTGGTCTCATTTTCACTTATCCTCAGTCTTAGTTTCAATCTCAGCCACCTTCATCCTCATGCCATATGCCATTATGTTAGTCTTCTCCGTCCTCAAACTCATACTGAACAATTTTAAATTCAGCTAATTTTTTAACAATAATTATGTCAATATTCACAGTCAAGACAATGGCAACGAAATTAAATGATAATAACGGTTTTTTTTATCCGAGTATACTTGTATACAAAAAGGATAAATAAATAAATAACCAAACTCTGCTTGATTGACTTTCACATGATACACGCAACGACATACCAGGGAAATTTATCTGTACAGGACACTTTATCATGCAAATTTAAACATGTATCTATTTCACAGATCTTACATGTTTACAAATACAGGTGGCTTTATTAGTGAAACAAAATTAATAACAATGTGATAATAAATGTCTCGTCACCACAGAAAAGTTTCCTTTTGTTGTTTTTTCTTTATTTTATTAATATTAAAACATGAATAGATAACTGTTATAGGTGGGGATAAGAAAATGGAAAAGTATGGGTTAAACTACTAAAGGGTAGCTTAATTTAAATGCTAAAGGCAGATATATTTATAGATTATCACATACGAAAAAATATTGTGTGTATACCTGGTTAAACTGGTTATTTTTAACTAATTTAGCTAATGTGTATTCAGAAGAATTGAAAAGCGAAACAAGATGCATAGTCAAACTTTTAGTAGAATTCCCATTTACAAATGCCAGATTTCTGTGTCCTATCTATGAATCATTATACTCGACTTTCCATCAAAGACACACACAAGAAAATTCACTTTTATCATATTAACTACACCAACAACGAAATTTCTCTGTGTGATACATAAACATAATAATACCGAACTTTATGATGGGCGAGATGGTAATTGATTTAATTATTTGTTTATTACTAATTGGTTGTGCATAGTGGTTCCAAACTGATGGCCCGCGCCTAACTGTGGAGGCGCAGGCCCGTCAATGATGGCCCGTGGTAATCACAACAATTTTTTCCCACAATTACAAAGTCCGTGATGGATGTGAATAGTTTCTTCCTCCATCCTCCGCATACAAGATCTTTGCAGTTGTCAAAAATGGTATATTGTTTTAATATCCACCAACTAACTTAATATATATTATTTATCAGTACTCCGCCTATTAGATATTATAGATCATTTTTTTAGCCGATAACATTAAATCTAGATAATTCACAATATACTGAAAGTTCTCTCAGTGATCTATAGTGTAAAAAGGTGGGAAAACACTGGTTTAGCATAACATAATGTGTTCATTTTTAATCAAAATTACTAATTTCAGGGAGCCTTTATTTTTGACTACAAATCAAATATGACGTGTAAGAACAATGAAGAATATCATTATTCAATATAATTTTTATATGAGCAAACATTCAAATAATATTACTATAATGAAAGGAAATATGACATTCAAAATACATTATGACGATCCTGTTAAAGTAATAAATGAACTATAAATTGTTAATTATAAAAATATATTATATATATATATATATATATAAAATACCAACTCTACAGTTTGCAGCGCGATGGCTATTAGAGACTCTAGTGGCTGGAAAGAAAACGCAGTATCATATGTAGGAACGACTGGTTGTTCTTCCTTTAAATTTTTTTTCGGTTCATATTGGGATGGATTTGCAGAAAGTTTTCATTTCAATACCAACAAGTGTCCAATTTCTGCGGTAATTTAGTCTCAAGAAATCTTTGACTTTATTATTAAAATATATAACGTTCTACTTTATATTTATCTTTAGGGCGTCTACAAGACAAATAGCTATGAACTTCCAAGAACACTTTCGAAATAAAATTTTCCAGAGAAGTTTAATTAAGGAACTTACAAATTTCAAATTTATTATCTCACTAGTATTAAAAAAATTGGGTAGTATTGTTTTTGTGGCTGAATTAAAACGTCCAAAGAAATAAAAAAAATGATTTCTTTAATAATTTGTTTTTGGTATTCTGGATTATTGTTATTCATAGATTAGCGGTAAAATGTATAAGTTACTAGCAGTTTGTATTTACCAAAACTTTAATTTCTTTTGTACAGTTATAATAGTTATATAAATGTACTTTTTTATTAAATTATAATATAATAATAATAATTGTAATAATATTTATGTATACTTGACAAATATAAAATATTACCATATATATTTATAGTCAAATACTTTTAAAATAAAATATCAAATATGCATTTTGAATACAAGTAGCACAACAATTTTAAATGTATTCTTAACAATAATATTTAAACGACTTCACGTATGATTTACTAACAATATTATTAATATCGTATTGGTCTACGCAAAATATGTACCTTTGTGCTTAATAGAACTTTTAGATTCAGAGTGCAGCGAAAATTTAATCAATATTTTGGTACTTAAAGGTCATTTTTGATTTTCCAAGCGGTTTTCATAACAATTGGAAGAAACCCGGAAACTGTAGGGAAAAACTAACAAATATTTACAGCATAACGATATCATTGTTTTCGATTCTTACAAACTATTTATTTACCATAGATATTGTTACAAGAGAAAACTATATGAGGCGTTTTTAATTGAATTTTTAATCTAGTCCATGATCAAAACAGTCGTTCTTGATTTCTTTTGCAGTTTATTTAATAATTTAGCAAAACTGAAAAAAAACGTAGAAAATCCAATCTAGAATCACGTATTAGTATCTGCTTTTACAGTCAAAAGAGTTGAATTTTTATTTAATTACTTATTTGTGATTACATCTATCAATTCTTCTTTTAATTTGGCGGAATTTTTAGTTTCTGTAAATAACGAGGGATCTAAAACTATCTAGAACCTGAAAAACTAATTTCAAAATTCTTATTAAAATAAAATATTAACATTGAAACAGCCACCACCCGCTTTTAAATTCCAGTATTCTCAATTTGAAAATATCAATTCCATTGTCCTCCTAAATGGTTCCACTATCTCAAGAGAGTGGTATGGCTCATTATTGGAACCAGTGATATAAAGTCACAAAACGTGATTTGTGTTTCTAATAATACACTACTGCTGCTATTGATTTATCCTTAAAATCATAAATATATTCAACGTACAGATTAATGAGAGAGATTTTTGAATGAAAAGATCTTATAATTTTGGATCAGCGGTTTTTCTGCATATACCTTAGGTATCTAAATAAAATTAACTCGATTGAGATATAACTCATTAGTTTTATGTAGGTCAGGTTAGCGGAATCTGAGAAAAGTGGAAATGAATCTTTAAACTCCTAGAGTGGCTATCAGAGTAACATTAATGTTAATATGACTATAGACTACATAGTTAAAAATAAATTTGCAAACTATGTTCTTAATTGAAAACAATATAAACCTACTAAAATTAACTATGTATCTATGTCATTAGTATACGAAAGTGTTGGTTAATGTAAAAAAAAAAAAAAATTAAATATAGGAATACAATATATATCAAGAACATAGATTTCAAATAACTTCGGGTAATTTTTACATATACGCCAAATGTATTCGAAAAAAATAATTAAAAATGACCTTTAGAGTAAGATTTCCTATCAATATAATAGTGCTCATACAAGCTTTTGATTATTTTTATTACTCAACAAGTACGTATTTTCAAAACAAAAATTACTTTTTATAACCTAACAATTAATTATATGCTATCCTCAAAATGAAAAAAAATAAATCGCTTATCAGATGTAATTTTTATTCGGTGTTATTATAAAACGCAATGATAATAAATTATTATACATAGATGTCATCGGTTATAATAATAATAAATTATAACTCTGCCGGTGATCATTGTTATACTTAATAATTAAATAGGTAACCTGCTATTAAAATACAATTCTTTACAGAACCCACACAATAACAACAAATTAATTCACTAGCTTTTCAAATTTCAAATTTCGTTTTACGTTTTATAGTTGATGTGCATATGCTATTAGAAGAGCTTTAATTCTGCACGGTATTGCGTAAAACAAATTCGTACGTTATTTCGTGTAACGAATTAAACGATTATTTATGATCATGATAACCATAAGAATTATTTTCATAATTTGTACTCAGTTTGTGTTTTACGTAAATACCGCTCAAAAATTTCTTCCGAATTTACCGGTTGTAAGTATATTTTTATATTTTAAACACGCATTTTATTATTGAAAAGATAAAACACTTTAATTTATTCGAAGATACAAGAGGACGAGTTATCGCCAACATTATTTAAGGGGGCACACATAGGCAATTTACAAAACTATAAAAAAAATATAAAATTATCAACTCAAACACATTTAAATTCACTAGCGAATAAAATGTGTACAAGTATTTTTTTGTACAATCATGACATTAAATAAACCGNTATTAATTTATATCGAAACTATTCCGAATTTCTTTAAAAAAAAAAAGAATAAAAGAAAGGTGTATACGTTACAAATAAAACTCTTCGTAACATTTTATAACATTTCTATAATTATAAAAACGAAAGAACAAAATTATCCCACGTTAAACAGTAATTACAACCGAATGATTGTGGGGGAAGAGGTATCATGTTCCCATAAATAAATATCACTTATTATTGGTTCAGCCTAACATCATGATATTATGTTTGTTTTTAATCGGATTAATCAATTTTAGGGCGAATATATTGTTGGATACAAGGCACTTATGGCGTGTGAGAAACATGACGATTACCTTATTGAACATAATTTATACTTCAGCAAAAAATCCAGTAACGTTACTGAAGTAAAAGGAAATATTACATTCAAAGTTGATTATGACGATTCCGTTAAAGTAAATTTACTGATTATTCAATTATTATTCGTAAAATAATTTAATATTTATTGTAAATGTATACATTATTTACACTATAGTTTAATGCGCGGTTGGCTATTAAAGATTCAATCGGTGGTTGGAAAGATAATGCAGTAATCTATTCAGCTCCGACAGGTTGCACAGCGTGGAAGTTTTTTCTCGGATCATATTGGGATAATTTTTCAGATACTTTTCATTTCAATACCAAAAAGTGTCCCATTCCTAAGGTAATTTTATCCCTAGAACCTCTATTACTATTAAAATACAAAACGCTGTACATTATTGGTGCTTAGGGTGTTTACAAATCAAGTGGCTTTGAACTACCAGCTGTCATTTCAACATCAAATTTTCCGAGAAAGTTTTTTTACGGAACTTACAAATTCCGCATTTATTATCACAACAGTTCCAAAAAAGAAGTTGGATGTATTATTATGGTTGTTGAGGTAAAACGTCCGTGGGAATAATAATAACTTGTCTTATTGTTAATTTTTGCTTGGATATTATGGATTTATTATGCACCTAATTTAAAGATTGTTTAAATATATCAGTAGACATGTGTGAATTTCATTTTAAATATAAGGTTTTTTTATAATTATAAAAAAAATGTGTTCTTGCGTACAATTGTATTATATATTGGTGTCACCATTGTGTACTTATATAATTATAAAAAACGTTTATGAAAATACTGTTGCGACAATTTTTGTACACCGAAGAAAATAATTAACTCGGTTTTATGTTAATTAATAATTATACGTTAGATTCGGACAATGATCCGAAAATTGCAGTGACGACTAGTTGCTCTTTGTTTAATTTTTTTTGTTTTAGTCATTTTGTAATGTATTTTAGAAAGTTTTCATTTTAATACCAACAAGTATTCAATTTTTGCGGTAATTTTTTCCCAAGAAATGTTTAACTGTATTATTAAAATATAGAACGTTCAAAATTATATTTTTCTTTAATTTGCCTACAAGACAAATTGCAATGAACTTTTAAGAACCTTTTCAATATCAAATTGTCCAGATAAATTTGATTACGGAATTTTTAAATTTCGAATTTATTATCACAATAGTTCTAAAAAAGAAGTGGGTTGTATTGTTTTTGTCATTGAATAAAAACGTCTTCAGAAATAAACACAATTGTTTTATTTATAATTTGTTTTTGGCATTAAGGGTTATTGTTATTTATAAATCAGCTGTAAAATGTATAAGATATTAGCAGTTTGTTTTCTACCAACTCTTTGATTTATTTTGTTTAGTTTAAATTTTATGAATTTTTTTTTTATATTGAATTGTAATATAATTTATATATGCAATTTTAAAATATAATATATTAAAATAAAAATGACTTGTGCTAAAAAATGATGCATGTTAAAATGTAACACACCTATGAATCCGATAAATGATAAATCTCACTACCGTAGTTTGGCAACGCTCTAAGTTCACATCAAATAAACAGATAACAGAAAATCGAATAACTATGGCACTCGGCACACGGACGCTCCGTTTTATCGTGGATCTTTAAATTGTCTTTCGTGTATTTTAAAAGCTGTAAACCGTAATATCCATAGACCTTATACTAATAGACACGAAATGATTACATACCGGATGTGGAATGATAGAGGACGCTTTTCGTTGACTGAGTGACTGTAAATTATCATGCATACCATAAAAGCACAATAAAATTAAGCCATTATCTCTTTTCTGAATATTCTGAATATTAAGTATACTTAACTTTCCGATGCCCCAATATAATATTACGAGTACCTACAACCTACTTATTAAATGTATAAATAACAATTAATACAAATTATATACAATTATTCACTGTAATACCGTTGATTATGTGACATGCGTACCGAAGCGTACGATAATTTGCATTAGTACATTTGCAGAGTACACTTGGTCTCAGGGCGGGCTACATCACTGCGATATGTTTCTACGCAGTTCATAATGCTGTAGTTATACGAATTTCGTATCTATTAGTATGAGGTCCATGGTAATATCAGTAAAAGTAAAAATTGTATTATTGTATATCAGCAACACAGTACCAGTTTTCCCAAGAAATCTTGAGGGTATCTTATGGAATTTTAATGAACTTGTTAATGATATTTTTTGAATCGGGGTGAATATAATAATCTAATTTAATCGAGAATTATTGATACAAATTTTTTTTTTTCTGGTTAATATTTGGTAAAAGTAAGCAATTCTGGCGGTGGTGAATATCGGTGGTGAAGAATATTGGTAAACTATACATATCAAGAAATACCTGATATTTTACTTGGATGTTTGTAAAATATATTACTATAGAAAAAAGACTTGTAGTACAGGAAAAAAAGGTAAATTTTCGATCAATCATAATAAGGTAAGGGTTCTCAGATTCTTGGTTTCGCCAACTATTTAAATATATTAGAATCCCTTCCAAACACAACTAAAGCCAACAAGATTTCAGAAGAAACAGCGAAGAAAACACATCTCAAAATTAATGCTGATATAACAAAGGTAATAAAACTTTTCAAGAGTGGAGAGAACCAAAATGAGTGGAAGACTTAACTTACAAAAAAGTGAGCAAGTTAGTGATGTTAAATATATAGAAGCAATCATATGAACTATGAATAGCTGGTCAAAGAAAACAAGTATTCAAATAAATAAAGTTCAAAAACCTTTTCATACGATGTAGAAATTCTTAAGGCCTAATATTGTATCGAGAAAATCGAAAGTAAGACCTATTATAAGACCAACTTTAACATATAGTTTCAAAGTGTGGGCGACAACAAAACAGACGGAAAGAAAAATTATAACTTTTAAGAATAAAGTACGCAAGAAATTATGTGGAACTATGATCCAACTTTAAATTCCTACTGTTAGTTATTTGTGAAAGTTATTTTTTTTTCTTTTTGAGAAGATTGGTTGCTGCACTAAATCCATGTGCGTCTAAGTAAGATGATCAAATTACAATCAAAATATTTATTACAACAGCCCACAATCCAGTATCTTGTGTTTATCTGCTTTTACAGTCAAAACTGTTACATTTTTAATTAACTCATCATTTATAATTTTAGATAAATAAATACAATTTGTGGTTACTTCTATCAATTTTTCTTTTAATTTTGTAGAATTTTCAGTTTCTGTACATAAAAGGAGATCTAAAACTCATTATAACCTGAACAATTTATTTCAAAATGTTGATAAAAAAAAAAAAAAAAAACAATTTTATAATCCAGTGTCCTCAAATTGAACTTGTTAGAAGTGGATTTTCAAACTCCCGAAGTGACATAAAAGTTAATATGAGTCCCTGCATAATAAGACCCTGCATAGTCTTAAATTAATTTATAAACGATGTTCTTGATTGGAAGCAATAATAACAGTATATCTACATACATTCCATGCAGTATCTATTCCAGACCTTCCATCCCAGGGAAGGTATCATAAATTGTCAAGGGGGTACAATAAGATAAGAGCAAATAATGAAGGGAAGTAAAAATAAATATAAATTGCATAAACAGTTATTTTTGTAGTTTTTGTTCACATAAAAAGTGACTAATGAGTAATGGCCAATACATCCTAAAAATACTTAATGGTCATTTATATTAATATTAGATAGCTATTTAATTTAGATATCTATGAATACATAGGTACAAATGATTTATATTAAAAGAAAATCTTATTGAAATTCGGTAATATTATTAATAATTATACTACATAAATTATAGATTATTTATTATTATTAGGTTTATTAATGTTATAGTTATTATTTAGTTAGTAAAATAAACTCAAATATAAGAATGCTGCGTTGTTTTTAATGTGCATATATATCAAGTTTTATGTATCATATTAAATTCTCTATCACATTATTTATTTAATTTTATCATTAGTTGATGTAGTGATTCTTAAATTACTTCGTGGAGGTAATACCACCCGGTCACCCCCCTGAAAAAAACACTAATTCTGTGTGTTCCTAAATTCGGCAAATTGGTCAACCGCTAAATTTAACTGTTTTTAACCTCAGCTACTGACCAATCCGTTGGAGAGGAAGTGATCTAAAGGACTTCATTATCAGAAATCTGAGATTTTTGGATGGCCTAATGTTTAACCAGATGGATATAATAAACACGTACCAAAATTAAAACACATTTACTAACATATATTTGTTAAAAAAAAAATGATTTGTTAAAATTTGTTTTTGTTTATTGTACTAACATGTTTTCAAATTCCAGTTCTACCACTCGACAAGCATAGTACAATCGAAATACGGTTTTTGTGTGCTGGAAATACTTTTATAAAACATATAGATGTTGAAACGATTTGTATATCATTTAATCATAGTATGTATACCTAAATGCTATTTTATTGTGACTTAGCTATACTTATAGATCTCGATGAAAACTAAATATTGGTGATTATAGCCTATTGGTAATCTTAATTAATAGTGTTAATAAATATGCTCAAACACAAAAACAAACAAAATGTTCCTAAACTCTATAAATCTATTGAAAAATCAAGCAGATTAGCAGAATGATTTAGGAACACAAAAATAATATCTGTATCTATATCATTAGTATACGAACGTGTTGGTTGGTGTAAAAAAAAAATTAAATATAGGAATACAATAAATATAAAGAACATAGATTTCAAATAACTTCGGGTAATTTTTCCATATATGCCAAATGTATTCGAAAAAAATAATTAAAAATGACCTTTAGAGTAAGATTTCCTATCAATATAATAGTGCTCATACAAGCTTTTGATTATTTTTATTACTCAACAAGTACGTATTTTCAAAACAAAAATTACTTTTTATGACCTAATAATTAATTATATGCTATCCTCAAAATGAAAAAAAATTAATCGCTTATCAGATGTAATTTTTATTCGGTGTTATTATAAAACGCAATGATAATAAATTATTATACATAGATGTCATCGGTTATAATAATAATAAATTATTACTCTGCCGGTGATCATTGTTATACTTAATAATTAAATAGGTAACCTGCTATTAAAATACAATTCTTTACAGAACCCACACAATAACAACAAATTAATTCACTAGCTTTTAAATTTTCAAATTTCGTTTTACGTTTTATAGTTGATGTGCATATGCTATTAGAAGAGCTTTAATTCTGCACGGTATTGCGTAAAACAAATTCGTACGTTATTTCGTGTAACGAATTAAACGATTATTTATGATCATGATAACCATAAGAATTATTTTCATAATTTGTACTCAGTTTGTGTTTTACGTAAATACCGCTCAAAAATTTCTTCCGAATTTACCGGTTGTAAGTATATTTTTATATTTTAAACACGCATTTTATTATTGAAAAGATAAAACACTTTTATTTATTCGAAGAAACAAGAGGACGACGAGTTATCGCCAACATTATTTAAGGGGGCACACATAGGCAATTTACAAAACTATAAAAAAAATATAAAATTATCAACTCAAACACATTTAAATTCACTAGCGAATAAAATGTGTACAAGTATTTTTTTGTACAATCATGACATTAAATAAACCGTTTAAACATCGAAATTCCTCAGCAAATTAGAAAAAACTCTACATGTTCATTGACTTGTATATTATTTGTTAGTATAAACACAATAATTGTATTCATTTTGTTTAACTATGGTTATTTGTTTCGGTTTATTAATATTAATTTATATCGAAACTATTCCGAATTTCTTTAAAAAAAAAAAGAATAAAATAAAGGCGTATACGATACAAATAAAACTCTTCGTAACATTTTATAACATTTCTATAATTATAAAAACGAAAGAACAAAATTATCCCACGTTAAACAGTAATTACAACCGAATGATTGTGGGGGAAGAGGTATCATGTTCCCATAAATAAATATCACTTATTATTGGTTCAGCCTAACATCATGATATTATGTTTGTTTTTAATCGGATTAATCAATTTTAGGGCGAATATATTGTTGGATACAAGGCACTTATGGCGTGTGAGAAACATGACGATTACCTTATTGAACATAATTTATACTTCAGCAAAAAATCCAGTAACGTTACTGAAGTAAAAGGAAATATTACATTCAAAGTTGATTATGACGATTCCGTTAAAGTAAATTTACTGATTATTCAATTATTATTCGTAAAATAATTTAATATTTATTGTAAATGTATACATTATTTACACTATAGTTTAATGCGCGGTTGGCTATTAAAGATTCAATCGGTGGTTGGAAAGATAATGCAGTAATCTATTCAGCTCCGACAGGTTGCACAGCGTGGAAGTTTTTTCTCGGATCATATTGGGATAATTTTTCAGATACTTTTCATTTCAATACCAAAAAGTGTCCCATTCCTAAGGTAATTTTATCCCTAGAACCTCTATTACTATTAAAATACAAAACGCTGTACATTATTGGTGCTTAGGGTGTTTACAAATCAAGTGGCTTTGAACTACCAGCTGTCATTTCAACATCAAATTTTCCGAGAAAGTTTTTTTACGGAACTTACAAATTCCGCATTTATTATCACAACAGTTCCAAAAAAGAAGTTGGATGTATTATTATAGTTGTTGAGGTAAAACGTCCGTGGGAATAATAATAACTTGTCTTATTGTTAATTTTTGTTTGGATATTATGGATTTATTATGCACCTAATTTAAAGATTGTTTAAANATATCAGTAGACATTTGTGAATTTCATTTTAAATATAAGGTTTTTTTATAATTATAAAAAAAATGAGTTCTTTCGTACAATTGTATTATATATTGGTGTCACCATGGTGTACTTATATAATTATAAAAAACGTTTATGAAAATACTGTTGCGACAATTTTTGTATACCGAAGAAAAAAATTAACTCGGTTTTATGTTAATTAATAATTATACGTTAGATATGATTCAAACATTACGATTTCAATAGTTTAAAAATCATCATTAAATATATTTTTTTAATTAATTAGCTTTAACTAACTAGTTTCTAGATTTAGTAATTCCATTTTAATATTGATTTCACTTTATCGATTCGAGTTATATTTAAAAATATTATAAAATAATTTAGCTCTCAAATATTAGGTATGAAAAAAAAAAAACTACACCTGTTGTAGCTATCGTCACGTTGTAAATTATAAATTAAAAAGTAAGGAGCTAAAGAATTATTTGATTTATATCTCTAAGCAACGATAAACCATTACGTGAAATAAACGAATCCGAGCGTAGTTTGTTTATACACGATTTTTAAAGGCCGTAATATTTATGATTGTCATCAAAATTTGATTTTAAAATCATCATACAAATAATTACTACAAAAAAACCGACGCATATAGAAACCTCGAAAATAATCATACATAATGTAAGGCTGTAGACTGTAAATACTCAGACCGTATTTTCACAGACTGATGAAACTATTTATATCACAAACCGTAGAGTTCCAGACTGTATTTCGGCGGAAAAATAAATACGCAGACACTATATTCCCCGACCGTAATATTACGGAAATTGTTTTTTTTGTGAACCGTATTTTCACCGTTTGTCAAAATCCGGAAATTCACAAAACATATGTATTATATGGTGTAAATAAATACAGCGTATTTCGCTAGAAAAAATAAGTATGCTGAACGTATAATAACTGACCTTTATGCCACAGACCGTTTTTTTCTCGAAAATAAAATCACAAAATCAACACTGGTAACTCTGGATTTCTACGGTCGGTAAAAATACGGTATTAAAATTATTAAATTTTGGAATAATACTGTCGGGGACTATATAGTTGGGGAAGAATACAGTCTGTTTTTTCCGGCGAAACACAGCTTGGAACTATACGGTTTGTGAATTTCCGACTTTTTACATACGGTTTTCAAATTCCAGAATTATTTTTTCTGTGACTATACAGTTTACATTTTACTTTTGTCTACCAGAATACAGTCGGTGGATTTACATTCCGAACCTTTAAGGTTGGTAAAAATACGGTTTACGTATTTTATTTTCCGGATGAAAACGGTCGGTGGCATTACAGTCGGCCATTTATTTATTTATTTATTTCCGAATTTTTACGGTCTATACAATTACACTTTAATTCCGAAATTATACGGCCTCCCCAATAAAATCTATTTTTTTTTTCTTTGACCATAAAGTAGATTTCTAAAGAATCTCCTAATTAAATTTCAACATTTCTGTTTGATCAAACAATTATATCTATATAGCACTTATCGAATAAAAACTTGGTACCTAAAAAAATTCGTTAACATAAAACACCCATACAATTTTACTACATTTAGAAAATATAAAAAAAAACTTTTTGTCAAAATCTATCCGTAAAAATATTTTTAATTGAAAATTAGGAAACCATTTTTTCTATAAACTTCCCGTTCTTTCTACGGTTTTTTCTGGTTTTGCACAATTATTCTGAAAACTAAACGGAATACCAAAAATCGCTAACTCATTCACCAATCAAATCCAATATTTAACCAAAAAGAGGTTTATTGACATTTTTGACATTTTCTGGTAGAAAACTTGCTCACAGATATAAACAAAAAAAAAACAACAAAAATAAAAAAAAAAAACATGCATTGTTCTAAAATCAATAGTTCCTACGCTTTGTTCAGAATTTAAAAATGCACAATCATGTGTGTTTAATCAGTAATCAATACACAGGCTTATTTAAATGTTTTTAATACAACACTTACCATTAATGACTACAAAAAATAACAAAAATACAAGATATTTATCTACTACACGTCATCGTCGTGTGGTTCGAGGAAATTAATTGGTTGTTATTGTTACATATTATTACAAACAACAAATACCTATTTACTATTGTGATAATATTATAAATTATGTACAACAAACAATCGTTGCTTAGTTATTATACCGACAATTTTCTGTTTTACACATTAATTGAAAGTTAACGTTTTCGGCGTGGCGTTGGTTATTCGACCTTTAAGATCACCCTGTCTTGCAACAAACGGGGGTTTGTCTGTCCCCGTCTGTCCTATCCATCGCCGAAACCTCCCATAGCTTTGGCGTTATACTTTACTAAGTCTTCCTTAAAGGTCTTATCACTCACGTTCTGTTCCAACAATACCTATATAGTCTATACAGAATGATCAATATAGGTAATGTAAGACATACATCATTTCGGAAAGTATAATACTTTTATTCGGAAATTTTTTTGTAGAATACTCAAAAAGTAATTAGCTCTAAAACGTTACATTACTCATATTATAGGATAAAACCATTACCTACTTTTGATATTCAAATGGCAATCTATACCAAAGGTTTTTAATTTCCGTCAACCTGATAACGAGATATGCCAAATTTCAATTTCAGTGAGGGAGAATAGTGGTGCATCATTTGGTTAAACGCTCTCCCCGTATCTAAATTTATAAGTCGAATATCTTGTCAACAGGTTAATGGAAACCAACAATTTCAACACCAAATTTATTCAAATTAATATTTCATCTATTTTTAGAATAGGTTGTCACTTTAAAAACCAAAGTAGGTGGTGGTCGTCCCGCCCTTAAAATAAGGACGACAAAAAACTAATTGTTGTATAACTTTTAAGAGCTACTTATTTCTAAGATCATGTAAAAATCAAATTCAAAAATAGTTAATACTTCAATGAGTGTCTAACTTTATGTAGATTACCCGTTATAATCGGTTTTGGCTTTTGCACGTCCAGTTGCCCCATTGAAGTTTTCCTTTTTCGATCTCTGTAATATTATTATCTCCTAACGTTATAGTTATAGATCTCTGGTTTTTTATTCGTCACCGTGGATAATTAATTATAATATTTGTATTAAACCAATAATCAGCAGTAATTTATCAAAAACCTTTGAAATGTCACTTTTTTAGTAAAATGTTATTATTGTTATTGTTACGTATATTTCGCATTTATATAAAAGATAACTGTAATATATTATGTAATATACGAGTACGGTTTTATAAGAACCCTAACGAGTCTCACCCTTTCGTACACTAGTGGGATGTTATGCATTTAACATTTTAACAGTTTTCACAAAGAAAAAAAAAGTATAATAAGAGTAAATATTTAAAAATGCAATTAGTATTAAAAACAAAAACAAATAATGGCATTATAGTGCGGCACACCATTTGAGATTTGTCTACATATAATAATTAATATTAACTACAATTAGGTTACGAGAGAGCGTTAATTTTTGTACCTAATCCGTTTTTATTTCACCACTATAATAAAATATAATTTAGCGTATGAATCATATTACATCCGTGATTAATAAATATGTATTTAATGCATTAGCCACCACAAGATAGTACGTTCATTTTAATTAATGTTTTATATTATTGTGTTATATAATATACTAATAATTTTAATCTAAAATCTTTGCATAACTTTAAAGTTATTAGGTAATCCAGTAAAAAACTAAATTAATTATTACAATAATTATCTAGATATATATTTGTCATTTTGTATCAATTTCCCAGTATAAATACTCTGAAACCACGGCTATCGCGGTAGATAAAACCGTGTTCAAACCAAACATGATGGTTTTTATTTTTTACGTTTATTCAAAAACAATGTATCACAGAATTCCATTATTCGAACAATGTAAATTATTATTATAATCTAGAATTTTAAATGTTTTGGCGTAAACACAAAAACAATAATATTAACTAACAATAATCGGGCGCACAATGTTTGTCAATAAATAATTATTATTGGTAAAGTATCTTTATTGATAAGTCTCATAATCTTGTCGACAAATACTTTAACTCGAACAGAGTCAATAAAAAACAACATTCTTTAGAATATTTAGATATCATCAGGTTTTAAGCACCCTGAGTTGAAGTGTTAATAATTAATAACTCAATTGCTTATTTAGGTACATAAAATACCTATATGTACTCACATACAATATTAGATATTAGCTCGTATATTGTGTGGAATGTAAAAAATATTATAATATGAATAGTAAATAGTTTGGGAGGAAAAAATATGTTCGATATTTTTATAGTGGCAAAAGAACAATTCACGCTGAACCTTGTATCAAATTTTCGAGTATTTTTGAGAAGCCTTTTTTGGCTTCTCGTATATCTACATAAACCTAAAAACAAAAAATTCAAAATGTTCAACGACTATGAATAACTTACAAAACAACACAATAGTATTGCACCTATAAAAAGGAGTTATAGTAAGTATAGGTATCTATACCTATTTGGGGAAAATGTCAGGTCTATACAATTATTTTTAACTAAATTACAACAAAAAAACGAATCGAAAATACCATACAAAAACTGACTGTTGACGTTATTTCAATAACCTTCCCGTTTTTCCGACATTTTTCCCCATTATTACCCATACAAAGAAAATTAAAAAAATGATTTCCTCAACTCTTCAACTAGACAAGATTTTCCATCAGGAACCTGTTTTCTGGCAAGAAAGATGGATACAGATATAAAAAAAATAAAACACTTCGCATCGTTCACTACGACGCATCGTAATAAAACCTATAAGTCATGTGAAAACATAATTGTTGGATATGTTCAGCAGGAACATACTGTTGTACCCAGTCCGTGTACACATGAATGATAATTCTTTGAATCATATTTTTGGTGTGCAATC